AATTGGTTTTGTTGAAATTCGTGATGGTGTGTGCATGAATTTCATAATTTACTTGTTAGTATTGACCCGGATTCAGAAGATTTTTCTCAAATAAGTATTTATTTTTATAAAAATGTAAAGGTTATTGTATTTTTTTTTTTTTTTTTTTTTTTTAGCAATTACATTCTCCATAGCACTATAGACCTAAACATATTCTAATTTTTGATAACAGATAAAAAATTGAAAGTAAGGTGTAGCCAATTATTAATAAGTGCAGGTTTAAATGTATTCTCCGGCCTCTTTCTAATATTATCGACGGTTTTATAGAATATTCAGGTCACATTCCGTATTTTATAATTAACTGAAGATGAAGATTCGCATGTCTGTTCTTGCTGGAATGAGACCAGGCCACGTTTAAGTAAGCGCGTTAACAAATCAGTCGGCCTTGGTTCGATGCAAGTTTTAACATTTCAGAACCAATTATAAGACCTTTCAAGTTATTCCAGTTCAGACAGAATGCTGAAAAACCACTGGATTTGTTGCTTTTAATCGGCCTGAGTGCTATTTACAACTATACACTTTTGGTGGTGGATTCGTATACGCCAGATTCTACGTTATTTGCCGACACTTTTCTAAACTAAGATGTTTCTAATATGCAAATCCGAAATCTTGAGATGCTCGCACTATCCTTTGTACAGAGTGGACGAAAGAGTCCGTCAGGGTAGCGTCCTCGGCCCACTAATGTACTCAGTGTATACAGCAAATATCCCTTCTCATCCCGACATCAAACAGAGAATACGTATATTTTGCGAAATTTTAATGAGTTCCAGCGGTTCGTAGATTTAGGGAAACTTTTAGTCCTTTTTTCATGAGAAAGAACGTATTAAGTAAGTGCCGTTGTCAATAGTGTAACATTTCAGAAGGAATTGCATTGTTTTCGTATTATCCCAGTTTAGACGAAATGCTGAAAAACGTCGGATTTGTTGATCTTAATGGATATGAGCGCTTTTTATTTAAAACTATCGTATTTTGGTTTGATGGATTCATTTATGCCGGCTTCTTTGTTCTTTGATGTTTCTTTTTTCATCTAAAGGTGTTTCTAGCATATAATCTGAAAATATTAGACGCTACTACTTAGTCAATAAGTATATATTTCGTGTTATTTTTAATAATAATGTTATGAAACATGGCAAAAAGAGGTGAAATACGAAAGGTTGTAGGAGGATTTGATGCCCGAGTAGGTCGAAGACACTTAGCTCAAGTGGTTAGAGCAGTGGCGTATTGAGCCGAAGGTCGTGCGTTCGAATCCCGCTCGAGACACTAACTTTTTCATCTCAGCCAAGACCTTACACAAAAAGAATAGTTATTTTTAAGGAGTCCCTCAAGATTATACATTCAAAGACAATAAAAAGGTCTTGTGAAAGGGAATCCCATTCTTCAACCAGAGCGATTTTAAGCTTTTTAACGCTTGATGGACGTCTAATGCGTGTGTTTTTCACATAATTGTTCTATAGGATTCATGTCAGAAAACTTTATCCATTCGTTGTGGTAATCCCTATATCTACCAAGTGATGGGTGACAACTCGAGTATACTCGGTCCCTAAGGCCAGCGCTTCCAGAAGAGCTTTCTCAATAGACCGTAGTGCAGTCAAAGATCCATTCTGTATGGTAATCAGACGAATATGGTCATAACTTAACTGTGCATGAAAAGGCTGTGACTCTTGGCGAAGAAGCGTTCTCCATATCATCACACAAAGTCCCAGTCATCTGATGCCTACAAACCAAACCAGCACTCATCCGAGAAGAGAACAGCCCCCATTGTTCAAGTGTTCAAGCGAGGTTGATTTGCGATGCTACTTCAGTAACAGAGAACCTGATGCGGGACGTCTAGAGACTAGGATATTCTCACGAAGCCTTCTGATGTTTTAGAGCTCACCCTTACATTACGGACCGTTTGGAAGTGACTATCTATCAAGAAAGCCAGTAAAAGCAATGAAATGATCATCTTTAGCCGTCCAACATCGCGGTCGACCACTACCTTCTCTTCGATGCTTAGACTTCTGATAGCTCGAACCGCTATAGGCCATCGTGGATGGTAGAGCGCGGCACACCCAGGACTACTTAACGATACGTCCGTCGAAGGCATAAGTATCTACCCGGGCCAGATCTTCTCGACTTAAAAACATGCATTTTACTCAAATTTACTGTTTCGTAAAAATAAACCGATAAACTCACTCGACAGTTAGCTCTGGAAGGGATGAAATTGAACTGATTTTCTTTATTTTTAATGTAAACAGTGTAAAGTAGTAGATTAGTTACACTCTATAAAGGTAAACACAACCATTTATTTATTAATGTTAGGTTTAATTTTTAATATAATAATTAATACCTGGTTATTATGGACAATTTACAAATAAATACTTGTGCCTTGTTTTTGAGTGTATTTTGTAGAATTTTTAATGTGTCCCTACAGATCGTAGGTTTCGACAAATTTTTAGCCCTTTTCTCATGAATAAGAACGAATTAGGAAAGTGCCAAAGTCAATAATAGGGTAACATTTCAGAAGCATTTATAAGATCTTTCGAGTTATACAATTTTTGATAAAATGCTGCAAAACCGTTGGATTTTGCTCAATTTTTAACTACATATCTTCTTTTGGATCAGGCATGGCGGTTCTTTGCCTAGTCTAATGTTTTTCCTAATATTCAAATCTTTAATATTTAAGATGCCAATGAATCTGAAGTCTAAATTTTGTATTTTCAATTACTGCTTTCAATTTCATTCGAAGAATTGTTTAGCTCTATTTCCAGGGATAACAACTAACTATGTATGTTTTGTTGTCAATTGTTTAACTTCGTTTAGAAATTTCATAAAATCATCGTGAAAGAAAGGAAATTGTGCATGTATTTACTCTCATCTCACTCTGATCCTCCAGGTACATTAATTAATAAGAATTTACCTACATGTGATTCTCTTTTATAGGAAATCGTTACAAACCACACAAAGTTGGAATTGTAAATATCAGCTGTTGTGCTAAACAATCGAAAAATTTCTTTCACAGGGGTTAAACCGAACGGCATGCATAGGCAATAAGAACTAATTACAATATAATAGCAAAAAATTGACCCTTATAAAAATCGTTGTTCTGGGGTTGAATTTGCAAATTTAATTCAATATAAACACGATCGGTACGCATTAGGCCGTCGAAGAGTCAATTCTTTTTATTTGACCCACTCAAATATATTTCAAGGACATCTGTGGGAATTCGCGTCCCAATCTGGCTAAAACAGGATCGCAAAACCTGTCAGAATACCACCCGAGAAAGAGAGAGGATTTGGACATTTTGGCCGGAGTTATTGGCTAAGTAAGTGACTGGTCACCGAGGTGCCCTTGGCATATTCGAAAGAAAGGAACAGCCTAATTATTTACACCGAATATTCGTGCCTTTAATCGAAATGACTAGTTTTATCTCCTGGTAATCCTCCTTGCCCCGGTCGATGATCCCGACTGTAATTAAATGAGTAGAAAATTTCAACTTTCTATCAATTAACGTTGATTTAGCAATTTGACTTTTGTAAAACCGAGTTCCAATCGATAGCAGTTAAACTTATAAAATGATGAAAGCAAACACAGTTTTTTTAATGGTATAATAATGGTAAGTTTAATAAAAAAAAAGGTATGATAATGGTCAATATAGATAAATCTTAATTAAACAGTCCAAAAACATTGGCCTCGATTAATTAACATTTATGAAAGGAATTGGTCGAGACAAAAAAGTCAGTGTCACTAGCGGGATTCGAACCCATGATCTTCGGCTAGATACGCCGCTGCTCTACCACTTGAGCTATCGTGACCTCCATCCACTCGGACACTAACTTCCCATGTCAACCCCACCTTTGGAATTTTCCCTCCTTTTTGCCATTTTTCAAATGTCCTGTAATCTATTTGATTCTCGGCGACAAATGAAATGGCCACGGAGAGCTTTAGTGAATATATACTTCAGTTTAATTATTAAATCTATTACAGTTCGTGGTCCGATTGACCAATTAACATTTTTCAATTAATTAATATTCATGAAAGGTATTGTTCAAGATAAAATTCTCTATAGTCTATGCAGACCGGATCTGGTCTATGAAGACAGAACAAGCAGGCACAAGGCACCATCTTCGCTTTACTCATGTACAAAAGTAGATGTAGATACACCATTCAGGTATGTAGTATACTGCGCCCATAAGAGCAATTGTATGCTATGTAGTGAGCTAGCACACCGGTGAGTCCTAGTCCATTAAGGAACTTTAATAGTAGGCCCAGTTTCAGTGGTTGAATTTGTTCTAAGTTTACGTTGTACAGCGCAAAAGACTTCCTCATGCTGGCAAATATGGCCACAGTTTGTTAGCAGGTACGTTGGTGTTTGAGTGAGTACAGCTCACTTTTTGAACAACTCTATGACCAAAATCTGTCTACTTCTCATGTAGTCTGTAACCTCTGTCAGGTACTGAAGACGAAGCTGATCGGAGCTTCAAAAGCGCTACTAAGAGAATAAATTTATATGCCATATGAGTTTACTAATTAAAGCCCTATAAATGTCCTGTTATCGCTTCATTCTCACTTTTTTCCCATCCAACTTTCACATTTTTCCGTATTTGTTTCATTGTGTACATAATTTTGACTGTGTAATAACGCTGGTCAACTGAGCTTTGGATGTTTGTTGTGTTTTCTTTTAATATAATGATAAATTGGCTCTGGAAAGGCCAAAACCAAGAATATTTATATTTTCAAAAAATTAACATTGATAATACAATATTTTCTTTTGCCACTAAGTACCATCTATGGCAGTACTAACTACCATCTATATCAGGTTACATTTGCATAAAGTAACATTGATAATACAATATTTTCAAAAAATGGAAAAACGAAAATCACGAAGTGCCTTGACAACCAAACTTCACTCGTATAATTATAGGCGTTTGGTTATTTATAAAAAAATTCTATTATCGGCTCTAGTAATATGTGCTATTTACCTCGTATCCCTGCTTGACCATGGACTGCCTGGGCCAGACGTACTCCTCCTTCGCGTGCGGCCCGCATTGCTGAAACAGAGAAAAAATAGTTTCCTCAAGTTTCGTGACATGTCAACCGCTGTCAAAAAAGGCTCAATATTTGTCGGAGGGGGGCCCGTTTTCTTCCGATTACGAATTCCCTTCCATGTCGAGAGGGAGACAAGGCGCTTGCGATTATTATTTACGACTTATACCGATGAAACCGGCGTGCCAGGTCACTTTTGACAACTCGAAATCGTTGCAAATGACTTTCCATACTACTCGTGTTAGCATTTGTTTCAAAAGGCTTATAAATATGTCGATGGAAGGAGTTTTCAATTAAATTGAGTACCACATTACTTTGGCATAAAGTTACATTTATTATATATGATTTTCATTTGACACTAAGTACCGTCTATGGCATTACTAAGTACCTTCTAAAGCTTCGCTAAGTATCATGTGTAACAGCATTAAGTTATCATTTATAGGGTTATTTTAATTTGGCACACTTTGGAATAAAGTAACATTAATACTAAAATATTTTCCTGCAGACGAAGTAGGTCCCATCTATAGCAGCACTATGCACCATCAGTACTAACTACAACAGCTCTAAGTACGTAGAAATGATAAATGGTGGAGTGAGTGCTTGTTCAATATTTTTAAAAAGATAGTTCCTATTCACAGTAAGTTGTTTTCAAAGATCCGGATTTCGAGCCTACAGCTCATCATCAGGTTGAAAGAGCTCTACTCGAAATCCGGATCGTCGAAATCTACTTACTGTGAGTAGGCTCTAAAAACAATCTATAGCAGTACTAAATACCATCTATAAGGGAACATTGTTTTAGCAATAAGGGGCATCTATAGCACAACACTGCACTGATATGAAGTAACATTTATATAATATTTTTTGGACTAGTACTATCATCTGTAGCAGCACTAAGTATCATTTACAGCACTCAGAATTTTGATATACTTTGGCATAACATTCATACTACTATTTTTTCTCTTGTAAGTAGTCCCATCTATAGCAGCACTAAGCGCCATCAGTACCATCTAAAACAGCAGTAAGTACAATCTATAGCAGAACTAAATACCAACTGTAGGATTACCTCTCGACACGACACGCAAGAATGACACAATTACACAGAAGACAAACACTTTGAGCCCTGAAGATGATCTCAATAAAGATCGAAACGTTGGCACGATAAAGAAAATGTTTTTCTGAAACCTACATCACACCAGACCGCATCTCACGATTTCTAAATAAATGTAGGATTAGCACTAAACACCATCTATAACGGAACATTACTTTAGCAGTAAAGGACATCACAGAACAACATTGCATTGCCATAAATAAACAATTACAACACAATATATTTTTGGACTAGTAGAAACATCTGTAGCAGCATTAAGTTTCATTTATAGCACTCATTATTTTGGCATAATTTGACATAAATTAACATTTTTACTACAGTATTTTCTCTTGTAAGTGGTCCTATCTATAGCAGCACTAAGCACCATCAGCACTAACTATAACAGCTCTAAGTACGTAGAATTGATAAATGGTGGAGTGAGTGTTTGTTCAATAACTAATTCAATTAAAAGCCATTTATAACAACACGATGTACCATTCATAGCAGCACTAAATATCATCTTTAAAGCCTATGGCACAATATTCGTTGCCATAAAATAACATTTATACTACAATATTTTCTGTTGGACAGGGTAGGTCCCATCTATAACAGCACTAAAAGCCATTTATAACAACACTATGTACCATCCATAGCAGCACTACATATCATCTTTAAAGCCTATGGCACAAAGTATCATCTATGGCACAATATTCATTGGCATAAAATAACATTTATACTACAATATTTTCTGTTGGACGAAGGAGGTACCATCTTGGCAGCACTAACTACCATATAAGGTAACATTACATTAGTATATAGTACTATTTATAACGCAATATTACAATCGCATAATGCAACATTGATAATACAATGTTTTATTTAGGCACTAATTATCATTTATAGCAGCGCTAAGGACCTATCGGACTTAGGAAATTTGTTCTGTCAATAACGTTTGTCGTTCTAGTTGTGAATTGATGACGGTGTATAAAAAGTCTAAAAAAACCTGTTAGCAAGTAATGGACATTGAGGTACGCAAATTAAAAATTTTCAAACGAAGAACTATTACAGCCAGATAACTAATTGAACGCTACGGTTCACTCGGTCCGACAAGGCAGACAGGTTTTTAAATATCAGGTTGTCAGAAATAATGATACTGATTTGGAGCTAAAAGCCAAAATCGAGTCGCCTTGGCCTCTTGAAACATTTGCTCCTTTCCAACATCGACTATGGCCTACCTAAACGCTCTTTGTGCATCTTGCATATCAAGCAAGTTCACTTTCATCTTTGTGGTTTACAATGTCCCACAGGAGGGAAATATAAAAAAAGGACCGGTTCCATGTCCTCAAGCTGAGTGTAGTTGGTTGCGAACAATTAAATTGGCCACTTTTTCTTTTTAAACAGATAAATCGCATTGGTGCATTTTTCAATTTTTTTTGCTCCGCACTTGTATATAACGGGTTAATGTCTTAATTATTAAAGAAAAAATATATTTTTTCTTAGAAAGTTGTATAAAATTGATAGACTGCATGGCACACTATTTAATAATGTTGACAATATTTTATTTGGTAATTACAATATTTCTGTATATCTTCTTGTATCCTGGGTACCAGGACACAAGGCCTTTTGGGTAACGAAAAAGCAGACAGACCGACTAAAGAAGGATCTGCAAGACTGTGCATATTCCTTGAACCTATCATGGAATAACAAAAACCAACACAGAATCCTCCATTACAGAATGGATCTTAAAAAGATAAAAGGAAAAGTGGATAAATTCTAGGGGCGCAAAACAACTCAAGTTATACTAAAACTACAAACCTCATAAAGACACACTCACTGCTGCTATTGGTGAGGGCCGGAGGAGTGATAGGACTATTAACCGGCCACTGGAGTGTAATTAAACACCTACTCAACATGGGCCTATTCAATGATGACCCCATTTGAAGGTTATACAAAGAGGAGGAAGAAACAGTCATCCATATCAACTTCGAAAGCACAATAGATCTTCTTAAGTCGAGGTGCAGAAGGCCTTGTTGCCGCCTCTTTAATCCGTATCACTATCATCTTCGAGTGTGAAGCAGCATGTTAATAGAGATACCAGGTTATACAAAGAAAGACCAGGGAATGGAATTGCACCGACGCAATCAAAAACTTAGTACTTCTTAGAAGAAGGATCGAGTTGATTGCACTGAGCTAAGGAACTAGGAAGGTACAAAAAGCCAAAAGGCGGCAGTGCCCGGGGTGCGGAAACACCCACTTCCTAGTTCTATCATCATTATCAAACCGTCAAAAACAATATAAACACAAATCGATTGATACAAGGTTACCTGTGAAACCAATAATTTTCCCGTCCGAATTAAAAGAAAAAAATTATAAAAAAACAACAATCCTGAGTATTTATATTTATCCGTGTATTTCTAAATAAGCGTACACTGTTTTACATCTATGTGAGCAGTATAATTAATCATGGGGGTCAAAGGATTTTTGACAAAACGTGAAGGATTAGCTTGGCTGGATTTTTATAATCAAAACCTCCACTTAAGATAGGCGGAATGTGTAAACAACGAACTTATGTTAGAAGACCAGTAGCTAGGCCTGACATGAACTAAAATCTTTACTGCATACCCTGCGGAATTCTGAAACGTCCGAAGCGATTCCACACATTAAGAGAGCGTCTCGAAGTTGTTAGTCACACGGCTGAATACGAATCGTCGAATTATGCGATCGGTTTGAAATTTGAAAAGCTGTCGCACAGATTGGCTCAGGTTTAAGTTATAATTCCGGTTTGTTTCATTTCGTTAGATGAAGCCAATTGCGTTGTCTAATTGTTTATTGTAAGAGCGACCGTGACCCCTTCGGTTTGATTGTGCAGGTCACTCCTAGCCCACCAAATTATCTTCTTATGAACGCCTAGCTAATTGCAAATGACTAAATGATCAATTCAAATCCTAGCCGAGCCTTATCGACGGCACCTTTAGAGATAATACGCTGGTGGCATGTTGCAAATGACACTTTCTGCCAGATGAAAAATGACTTCCGTACATCGCTAGAAGCTTCTGTCTTTATGCGGTATTTCAAACTAACAGATGTTCAAATGTCATCAAGATCGCACTACCGTTCAATAAAATTAAGCTTGCCTTCCTTCACTTTCGTGTTTATCTTCAATCTGTGAAAGATTAAAAAGACATGAATCCGCCTAAATGCTATACATGCGCGCGAGATATCAAAATCGTCATTATCTCTCTATTAACAAAAAATTCATTATCATCACGTTCTGATTTATGTTAATACAGTAATTGTAACTGTTGTTTTAATGTTTGTGAAATCCTAATGTGGCTGTATAATGTAGTATGTAAACATTCTAGGGAGTAGCAACCGTTTTGGGAACAAATCCATTTTGAATTATTTATCTATCTTTTTTAAAAGACAATATATGTTTCGCCTATGAGATACTTACGTTGGCATAAAGTAACATTCATAATACAATATTTTCTTTTGCCACTAAGTACCATCTATAGCAGTACTAAGTACCGTCTACAGGGGTACATTATATTTGCATAAAGTAACATTGATAATACAATATTTTCTTTTGCCACTAAGTACCACCTACAGCAGTACTAAGTACTGCTACTAAGTATTGGGGTACATTACGTTTGCATAAAGTAACATTGATAATACAACATTTTCTTTTACCACCAAGTACCACCATCTATAGCAGTACTAAGTACCGTCTTATACGGCTACATTATATTTGTATAAAGTAACATTGATAATACAACATTTTCTTTGCCACTAAGTACCACCTATAGCAGTACTAAGTACCGTCTACAGGGACACATTACGTTCGCATAAACTAACAGTTTTGATATTATACAACATTTTCTTTGCCACTAAGTACATTACGTTGGCATATAGTAACAT